TGACCGTCCACCAGGTCGTCCTTCTGCCCTGGGATGGACGCATTCTGTTTTTCCTCGTGGGACGTGGCCGACAGCGTGCTGTTGGAGACCTGGGAGTCGTGGCTCTGGTTGGAGAGGTCACTGAGGCGTTTGTCCTGAAGTTACACCACAGTTCCACAGTCAGACACTCCTTCAACAAACCGTGGGAAGAACATTTGATTATCCTGCAGCTACCTGTGCGTCAGCCGACTCTTCTTCTCCTTCACCTCTGCAGGCCTCGCTCCTCCTCTCCTCGATCACCTTCTTCATCACCTTCAGCTCACTGGGGTGCGGCGTGGCTCTGCGCTGAAGACCCTGCAGATTTAATTTCAACGTTTAACATCGGAGGTGGACCGGTACGGACCGGTTAAAAAAATGTTACTTTTTTGTCACTCCTCACTCTTCGGTCTTCCGCCGCATCGTCATCCTCCTCCTCAGCCTTCGTCTCTTCCTGGAACTGAATGACCGACACCCTGTTCAGGTTACTGTCCGTCCAACTGTCGTCCACGCTGTTTTGTAGCAAGTTTTCTGATGAACAAAAGAGAAAAGATAAGAGATGAAAACTTTAACAATATGTTCTACTTAAAACCAGAGTTACGACCGATGGTAGGAGCAGGTGTTCAATGGTGTTTAAAGTTCAATAAAACAAAAGTTTTATAGTGCAGTTAAAATTGAGTAACTTTTATAAACAGAATATTTACATATTGTATTTTAGTTGAATCTAAATCAAATTTTGTGAAAACTAATCTTGATATTTAAACAGGTGTTTAAAGTTCAATAAAACACAGCTTTATAGACCAATTAAAATTCAGTAACTTTTATAAACAGAATAGTTACACATTGTATTTTAGTTGAATATAATTCCAATTTTGTGAAAACTAATCTTGATATTTTCCCGACTAAAACAAAACTAAAATTAAAACTGTTGTATGGAGTAAATCCATGCTAAGATTATGTCACAATTTAGTTAAGAGATTAGGGATTATTCAGGAACTGGATGTCAGAGATTAACAAGAGCTCAAAGCTTTTTTAAAAACAATAACACCAGCGCTGCTCACCTAGGCTGGGCGACGGCTGCTGCGGCAGTAAATAACAGGTCAACACCTTCTCCCCTGTTCGTTCATCATCTTCTGTCTGGAATTTGAGCATGGGCTGCGATTGGTTCTCTGCCAGCCACATGGCCTTCAGGTTGAGGTTGGTCAGAGCAAAGGGCAAGTTTTGTAATCTGGACCAAAGGAAGGAATAACAGCGGAATATGTTGAGTAACGAATAACGGAAATGCAGACAGGAGGAACGATATTGATCCTGGAATTCTGGGAGTATTAAATGTTGAGGCGGGTCAGAGGGGTCACCTGTTTCCAGCCACGTCCAGCACATGCAGCTCAGTAGCATCTG